TTTCATTAAAAATGTCTTAATTTGTTTCAAGGATGAACAATGGGTTTAGACCAGATTCACATTTTGGGTGATCTAGCCCTTTAAGACATGAAGTTCACATCATATCAAGTCTTTAAAAGCCATTCAGAGAGTTTTGTAGACCACCAAGATCAGCTTATGAATATTGCTTGCTACAGAATGTCAGTTTTGATCCCTGTAAAATAACCAGACACAGCAAACGCTGCAGGGGGATTCAAAACCCCAGAAGAGGGCCAACAAAGAGACTAAACAGATCCAGGAACGGCACCTGCCCGACTCGAGCATTAGCGCTGAATCAAAAGCTCAGATTATCCCGATACGAGTGTTTATCCGTATGAGCTTGTGCAGGGCTAATCGCATGACTGCAGACCGCATTCAAAACACTCCTGCATGCAAATACACGCTTCTTTTTCAGGAAATAAAGATGCTGTCAAACTCTGAACATCCAAACAGCCCGGAGCCACCTCGCTGTCTACATAGGCAACATCCCGAGCAAGTGACGGATCTGGAGCAGCACGTGAAGCACAAGGGGGAACAACTCAAGTGTTTGACATGTTGCTAAACTAATAATGTGCTACTTTAAGCAGGGAAAAAAGCAGATATTGGGAAACATCCCCATTGAAAATGTTAATTTTCCATCTTAATTTTTGAATCCATGTGTATTTATTAAAAAGCACTTCTCTGTGTAAAGCAGACCGTCATGTAATGGATGCTTAATCATGATGTCACACACTAACATTCTCTACATCATGAGTCACTTCCTGAATCACTGGACAACCAGGATATTAGTCCAGGAAATGACATCATGCAAACAGTATGCTGACACACTCGTGCTCATGTGAGGCAACAAGCGGTTAAGACATGAGGGCCATGAAAAATAGCTTCCTAATATATATATATATATATTGTATATGATTTTTAATTCATAATATAAATTATTTATATTTTTTATATATATTTATATTTTATATATATATATATATATATATATTAAACAAAATAAATATATATATATATATATATATATAAATTAAACAAAATAAATAAATTAAAATATATATATATATATATATATATATATATATATATATATATATAAAATGAATTAAAAATCATATACAAAAAACAAAAAAATTGTCAAAAAGAAAACAAGTCCAAATAATCAAATCAAATGTTTTGGCCTGTAAAAGAGGTCAACAGAGCAAAACTAGACTCAAATAACTGAATGTGTGTGAGGCAAACTCAACTGACCTACAAATAAAACAGGGACACATTTATACAAAAGGGGCTAATCCACATTAACACACATACTGCAAAATACAACAAAATCAACAACAAAAAAATCCTTTGATCACAGGAATAAATAACATTTTAAAATATATTACAATAGAAGAAATAATATTACAGTTTCTACTGTATTTTTGCCCAAATAAATGCGGCCTTGGTGAGCAAGAGAGAAGGTTTCTAAAACCGTACAGAAGTTAACAGACCCCACACTTCTGAATGGTCGTTTAGACGTTCATATAGACGAGCTCAAACATACAGACACCAATTAAAAACATACGGCCGGCATTAATGCCATGCTGCTTTCAAAGAACCCAAGCATTAAAATCTAACCAAGCCCAGATCTGACCAGGAGCAGAATCTGAACCAGATGTGTGTGTGTGTCGTACCTGGCGGGTTGTTCCTTCGGTGGGCGTGAGGGTCGTCGGGTTCAGCAAAGATACTGGAGGCCATCTTGTTTTTGCGCACCGGCTTCTCTTCATCGGTGCCGAAGGAGATATTAGAGGCTCCGCCAGGGGGACGCAACACCCTACGACACATCGGTCAGAACAACAAATCAGTGTCACACACACACTCGGCATAATGACACTCAATAGAGCATGAAGGAAACACTAGAAGCAGCACTGACTGGACATTATGATTTACAGTCAAAATACGCCACCAGTAGAGATCTGATTAGCATGATACCAGTAGAATTGACCACTTTATGTTGTTTACATGTGAAGAAACGAGCGAAAACTCAAAGCAGGGCGGGTCAGTCATTATGTTTGACCAGCAATAACGCAACTTGGTGTTAATATAGAATTTAAGTTTTTTTTCCAATAGAAACATAAATAGTTTTCATTTTCATTAGTTTATCATCACATTTACATTGAATGAACGAATAGCCTACACTGTAAAAAAATATATTGTTGGTTTAACTTAATTTTTAGGCAATCATGTTACTTATTTTTTTTAAGTTCATTGAAATGGAAAAATTGAGTTAATACAATGAAGGAGATTGATTTATTCATCAGAAACTCAAAATATTTTGTTATCTGAACTACATAAGTTGATTTGACAAAAGAAAAAATGTTGCGATTACAAATCAAGAAAATATTTTTTTTACAGTGTAGAAAATTAAAATATCCATAACCATAAAACTTCAATACTCAATTACGTTCCAAAAATTAATTCACAATCATTTTCTCAACCTTAAATACATAGCAATTATAAGCGCTTTCATTTATTACCAAATCTAAAATCTTGCCAGACATCTTTAAAAAGACCGTAACTTGTCTTTTTAACATACAAAACTGTTGCTTAATATAATTTAAAGCAGGACAGTTAAATAAAAAAATGCTTCATAGTCAATTAAGTCTTACAAAAATCACAGTTAATTGGCAAATTTTAATTATGCAAAATATATTTGCACATATGCATTTGGCAGATGCTTTTTATAGAAGATGTACATGCGTTTCCTGATGATTGAACGCATGACCTTGCGGTTCGAGCCACACAAGATGGTTATTAAAAATATGCACCACTTAGGGAGCATAAATGAATATTTTGTGATGTAAACTGGCTACACTGATAAAGCAACTGCCCACACACACACACACACAGCTGAATAGTCCAGCTCATCTGCTAACACAAGTGCAGATTCCATCGTTGGATGGTTCTCATTCAGCACATATGTCGAATCATTAAAAAGACATGAGGGCGGGTGTCAGCGAAGCCCGGATGAAAAGCAGTGGCCCTGAGATTGATGTTTCTGAGGGAAGCCCTAATCAATGCCTGCGAATCAAACCTCCTGGAGCCCAGCTGACACCCGACGGCAGCTGTCAGGCTCTCGCCGCGTCCACACGCAACTTTCTGCTCCCTTTGTCAAAGGAATCGACGGTGCGGAGATTAGAAAACCATCCAGTGCCGTCTGGAGGTAATGCCTTAACCAGACTAAAGCTTTGGGATCAGATCAGGGGAAGGAGAAGGCCGCGTCGCTCGAGACCCCACCCAACACACACAAGCCATTAAAAATCCCTCCTCAAGCCCAAGATGAACGCTCAAAACATCACCAAATCAGACAGAGTGACCAATAAACACGCCTGCTCTCGGCTTGACCTACATTTCTGGCCGTCCTGCTGAGGGAAACCCCAGACACACGGGATTTGGAGAGGAAAAATGGAGAAAATCACTTGGATTTTACAGGGGAATGAGTCAGGGTGGCAACATGTTGCACCAAGGATGCATAGACACTAGACAATGCCCGAATACTCCTTTAAAAGCAACCTCAGTTCAGTCCAACAAAAGCCACTGCAACATTTTTTGACATGCAAATGCCAGAATGCATCTCCATCCCACCCTCGCCCGCTCCAAAGTTACAGAGATATCATTTCTGCACACACAAACACACCTAGAAAAGAATAAAAATGAGTTAGTTTGGACCACACCGTCCTGCAAATCTTCCACTGGTTGGTTTTGTTGGAAGACATTCAATGCATCTGTTCCAAGCCCAGTATCAGAAACCTTTTAAGGACAATGGAGCGTGTATTTTTGGGCCAGGGCTCGAGGATACACTCAATAGTCAGATGACTGAGATTAAACAGATAGAGAGAGAAAAAAGCAGGAGAGAACACAACTATTCATGAAATCATAAAGCCAAGCACAATGCCAACAAAACTTTAAAGCAAATCTCCCAGTTTGAGATGGAGTGGCAGCCTGCCAACACAATGCCTTTGTAATGGGTGAAGTTTGGGCAGCAAAACACCAGACATTAGATCAAATACACGTCAAATGTGGCTGGATCAGAATATGGGTGGATATGGGTGTTCATTGGCAGGAGGAAGAGGATGATGATGGTGGTGGCAGACAGTCTGGGGGAAGTCAGATCAAATGGAAACGTGAATCAAGCTAAATCCATTAAAATCCACATATTAAGGTTGATTAGCTTCATTTGCAATCGCGTATTGGAGGAGGAATCCATCCATCAGTCCACCATCATCATCATCATCATCATCATCATCATCACCTCCAGCTCTTCTTTTGTCTGCCTAGCGAACGCAACAAACCCGTTTAAATCCATTTACCTGGAGCTGTTTTTGGCACCGGGCTCCATGCCTGTGAAAGTGGTCGTCGTAGTCATGTTGAGCGGGTATTGTGCTCGCTAAACCGCGGTAGAAACCCTTCAGCTGGACTGAATTCGTGTAAGTCGTTTATCCCGCATGGACTCCGCCCGGACCAGCTGAAATCCGAGTGCAACGGAGCGGCCCTATAGACCAGCCCACGAAACCCCGCCCACAGGGGCGACGCGCGGTCTGATTGGACAGAACTCAGCTGTCCTTGGCGTTCGATTGGAGGAGCGGCCGTCAATCAGACGATAGCCTTCCTGGGTTCATGTAATGTGGTTTACTGCAGATTCACCCATAGGCTATTTACTTAAAAACGTGATATTTACATATTTACATTATAAAATGTATAAATTACATTAAAAATGTAAAGTTAAACCTTAGAATAAACTAAAAAAAACGCCGTTTTTTATTTGAATATAATTATGAATCATAACTTAAATTCTTCGACTTGCAATGCCTTGTAATTGTGTGAAATTGTATCTAATCATGTTAATAAGTCATTTAAACGTCATTTTAAATAATTTCTAAAATGAAATAAGTATTATTTGGAATGAAAAACGGTTTCATTCAGAAAACACACACAGACCCACATCTGATAAAAAGAGAATATTTTATTTTCACAAGAGATTGGACAATACAGACGGATGCTGGACTTGTCGGAAACATGAATCCCCCTCGTACGTACGAGTCAAAACATGTTTACCACAAGCGTTGCACTATACATGTTCACTACCATAAAAAAAAAGAAGTTTTAAACCAAATCGTCTGAATGGAAACCAGGAAATCAATTTAAACCGCAGGCTTTAGCAACAGCAGAGCTGAACACACTGTATGCTTTCTTTAAACACACAATCATAATAACTTGGAGAACGCCTGCGCGCTCGTATCTGAACTCGGGTCAATGATTGGAAAGAAGAAACATGTATTAGTTGGTCTCTATACACAGATGACAGTCTTCATGAAAGTTTAACTTGGGCTTCATGTGTCAGATTTCACAGGTATTAACAAACCCAATGCAATAATTACTGTAGCAGGAACCCTTTATGTACAAAACCGAAAGAAAACGTGATGAACTGAAAACACTATACAACAGCAGTTACAGAAAACCATGAAGAGAGAGAGAGAGAGAGATTCAGATGTGTCCTCCTGTCTGTTGCTGGAAAACGTCGATTGTGTCTTCATCCTCCATTTCCAACTGCGGAAGAAGAACATGAGGGTTATTATTCAGCATTATTAATAAACACAAGACTTCCTGTTGACTGTGACATCAACACCTATCCGCTCTGATTATGGTGCGCTCCTATCCCATGATGCACATCTACAATGATGCGGTCACCCCGGGTTTATTCGGCAAGTCTGTAATATTTCTTATTTTGCCTGAATATTCATCTAAGAGCACATGATAAAAGCTCTGTCTAAATAATGCATCACACTTCTAATCGATATGGAAAATATGGGCAGGACATTTTCCATCAGGATTTGATTGGATAATAAGAAGTGGTGGTGTATGATATGATTGGATCATTTTTATCATTTATCAATATTGACTGTAATTCAATAATTTTTTAAAATTAATATAAAGGCAGTAGAAGAAACACTACGGAAGTATTATAATATTATTTTATGTATATATATATATATATATATATATTAAAAATAATTATTTTATATATAATGTATCATAAATATATATGTTCATATTTATTTTACATTTGTACATATTTTACTTTTGTATTAATACATGTTATATATATATATATATATATATATATATACATACACACACACACACACACACACACATATATACATACACATATATATATATATATATATATAACATGTATTATTTAAATACAAAAGTAAAATATGTACAAAAGTAAAATAAATATGAACATATATATATTTACGATACATTATATATAAAATAATTATTTTTAATATATATATATATATATATATATATATATCTGTGGAAAAGAGCTATACAAATAAACTTGAACTGAATATTAATATATTTTTTAATAAAAAAAATAGAAATATTTTCTCATTACAGTAATTAATGTAAGAGTGTTGGAAAATATGATGAAAATATGATGTCACAGTGTAATTAGACTTCATTTTCTTAATATGATTACTAATGCAATTAGGCTTTGTTTGACGAAGTATCAGTTGAATATGACCTGGACATTCAGGCTTTGTGAGCTTCGCCTTTACTTTGAGATGAATACAGTTATTTTGAAGCACACAGACAAACACGTTCGCTGGGTTTTGTCGGATCAGTGTGTGTCGGCGTCTGTTGGTGTTGGTCTGGGTTTGTTTTCACCCGACTGAACATGTTCAATCAGTGTTTGCTGGGGCAGTGTGAACATGACATATATTTTTCATTAAATTATAAATCCACAAGCCAACATGTTTGTTGCTGTTTGTCTGTGGGCTGTGGATTGGCCTTTAAACTCCTTTGCACACACACCTCATGGGAACCAAGAAAATGTCCCCACAAGAGAAAAATGACTGGTATTACTGTCCTTGTGGGGACATTTGGTCCCTATAACACACACGCAGTGATGTCATACCTGTGCGGGCGTGTCTGTTTCATTGATAGGCTGTCCGTCAAACCGGAATCGAATCTGCCTCATTGTCAGTCCCTGCAAAAACACATGAGCACATCAGTCCAGTGCGTCTCACAACACACTTCACCACTCAACATCTATGCTGTTCACACACTGTTACACACTCGATCTCATTAAGATGTTGAATTAGCTAACCAGTTTTGTTATATTTTAGTACTTTTGTAATGAGCTTTCATCATTTTTATTAGTTTTGGTTTATTTTAAATGTTAATATTTAGGATTCCTTTATTTTTATTTTATTCGAAAGTTTTTATTTATTATTTATGAATATTTATTTATTCATTTTTATTTTAAATTGTGATGATATTATAATTTTTTAGCACGTTTTTTCATACATTTTTTTCCATCTAATTTGAATATATTTAATTTTAATTTATTTAAACCATTTCAATTAACAATAACGTGTTAACAGAATTATTTAGTGATAATAACCTGCTGAAAATTGAATAAATTAATTAGACTTGTTCTTTTGAAATATTAATATGATACATTTATTTTTATTTTAGATTTAAAAATAAATCGATTTTTAAATATTAATATTTAGGATTCATTTATTTTTATTTTATTTTAAAGTTTTTATTTATTATATTTATTAATTATGACTATTTATTTAAAATTGTGATGAAATTATGAAATTCTTTAGCAATTAAAATAAGTCAAATTTTTTAATCTATATAAATATATTTATTTTTAAACCATTTCAATTAACAATAACGTATTAATACAATTATTTAGTGATAATAACCTGCTGAAAACTCAATAAATCCTGAATTAATTCATTAGACTTGTACTTTTGAAATACTAATATGATACATTTATTTTTATTTCAGTTTAGATTTTATTTAATTATTATTTATTTATCTATTTCAGTGCATAAAATTGACTTGAAATCACTTTATTTGAAATTCTACTTTGGCAGCTAATTGAAATAAGCTAAAATTCTAATAATAGAATTTTCAGGGGGGGTTTTTTTCAACTTTATTTAAATTAACAAAAATAGTGTTTAAAGCGTTTTAATAATGTTAGTTAGTGATAGTCCGCTGAAATTTTAAAATTGGGCAATGTTAAAATCCGAATCTTTTAAAACCCCAAAGATGAGAAATAAAGTGTCAGATAGAGATCAGCTGACACCTCACACCGTGATGTGTGTGTGTGTTTCCTCGGGCCAGAGACGCTTCCTTCCAGTGAACGCTGTCCTACTTCTGCCGGCCAAACTGAGATTAAACCCTGCGCCTCGGCCAGGAAAACATGTTCCCGACCCGAAGATCACGAGGAGCATCTTAACCCCGTGTGTTCCCAGCGCTGATAAACCCTGTGTGTGGGGTGTGAGTCTCATACGTGAACATTCGAGTCACTGTTCGCTCTCGAAGCCTCTCTACCGGGCAGAAACCCTCGCAGCGGATGCGCAGGACCATTAACCGGACGCGGGGGACTGATAAAGCCAGCAGACGCGGAGGAAGTTATTGATCATCAGGATGAAGAGCTTTAGTGCTGGTTCATACGTCCTGCTTCAATACATCCTCAAAGTCCTCCAATGTTGTTATATTGACAGACAGGTGCAATGAACAATCCTCTCGGATATTATCTATCAAATATCAGTCATCCTTATTCATGCGATATGTGCATAAATAAACAAACAAATGTGTTTCTGAATCAATTTTCTTCATATCTAATCTTGTGTTCTCTCATTGTTTATTTATATCATACACACGGTTTGAAATCGCTGGTGTTTCTGATGTCACACACTACCTTATAGCCAATCAGATCAACGTCTGATCGTTAACGACTAGATCTCTGAGCTGAGTGAGTGGAGGCGGGGCTCATTTGCATATTCATAGAACCGCGCATACTAAATGAGCCAAGGGTGTCGAGTTACATTTTTTACAGGAAAAATGATTAAATATGTAACTTTAATGATCAAAAGATACAATTATTGCCTTCAGGGTGACTTCAGGGCGGTTTCCATAAGGAGGCCAAGAAACACAGGACATAAAAATGCTAAGATCATGCTTAAAATGTTAAAAGCATGCCTTAATCACCACATTAATGTGTCCTAGGGGGCATTTTATTATTGGGTATATCTTTGTAATATGTTGTCATGCGGTTGCAGTGTTTTGTGAGGGTGAAATGGTCCAATAAAACGAGAGCAGAGATTAGAGCGCAACAGATGGATCCGGTAGTAAAATCTCCATCCACTTTCTCCATAGGGAAATTGACTTTTAAACGATAACTTGGAAGTCTTTAAAGCCAGCCCTACTGTGAGCCAACTATGCTTCTGCTGAAGCCGTCAGCACTCATTTTTCAACTTATTTTGCAAAGAAATCATGCAATTTGTGGTGAAAAACTACATTACCCATAATGTACAGCAAAGTACACCAATCAGAGAGTCTAAACAAGAAAAACGCACCAAAATCTCTCGTCAGCGCCCATGAAGCACTGCGAACAACGTAATCGTGTCGATTTTTCTATGATCTCAAAATACTGAAATATTTAAATAAATATTTTGCAATAACCTTTAAATCGGTGTATATGTATATATAATAGGGCTGTAATCGCGATTAATCGCATCCAAAATAAAAGTTTGTGTTTACATAATATATGTGGGTGCACTGTATATAATTATTTTGTATATATAAATACACACACATGCTTGTATATATTTAAGAATTATTTTCATGTATATAGATTTATATATAATTTATATTATATATATAAATAAAAATATTTTATATATAAATAAATAAAAACTTAAATATACATGCATGTGTATTTATATATATAAAATAATTATACACAGTGCACCAACATATATTATGTAAACACAAACTTTTATTTTGGATGCGATTAATCGCGATTAATCGTTTGGCAGCCCTAATATATAATCAACATTTGCGATGAGTAGTTTTATGCTTCTCCATCGTTTTTAATTTGTTTATGCTGTTCGCAATGCATCATGGGATTGTAGTTATTTCCCTCACTAAAGCCATAAGTTCACAGTCTTGTACCTTTGTGATTTTGTCAGATTTTCAAATACTTTTTTGCTTAAAATAAACGTTTTTAATGTTGTGATTCTCCTCGTGGCTGATTGTCTTGGCTCATGGCTAATAACCTTTTTAATGATATTGGTAATTAGCATATAATTAAGGCATTTCTCTCTTTTTGGGGGGTATGATGTTTTGTATATTTTGTAAAACTATTTTTGTGAGTAATAATAAATGCAGTTAAATTAATAAAAAAATGTGTTTCTGCAAGAAAAATGTCAGAAAATATGCAAGAAAAATTTCAGACTTGTCTGACAATAAAGTATTAAGTAAGTAAGTAAGTAAGTAAGTGCTCAGATTTGCCAAAATGAACTTAATTTCTAATAATATTTAATGTTGTATTGTTATAATTATTGGGAAATTCTAGTGTGTGTTTGAAGAAACTATGATGGGCTTGTGTAAACCTTGTCTATATTTTGTACACAAACTCTTAACGTGCTGCCGGGACTTCAAAATACTGTCGGGACGGGGTGTGTGTGTGTCATGATGATCTCACCTGTCTCTCACAGTAGGCCTTCATGAGTTTGCTGAGGGGTGTGTGTCTCTTGATTTTGAACTGGACCACGGACCCGTCCTGTCCCGCCACCTTCAGGTTGATGTGGTCGTTGTTCTCCGTCTTCACCCCCTCCTGAGAACACATGCGAATATGAGATATTTGACATCACTCTTCCTTTCATGTTTTACATGCATCTCATTTGTAATTATTAAATGTAATTATGCATAATATATCGGAAACAGAAAATACTGTAAGATTCTAGACAATGTCTCGTCTATAATCTATAGTTTGAAAGGAACTGTTTGAAAGGAAAAGCAACAACTATCATGTGATTATTGTGGCGAGTATAGAAACTGGTTTCATCCTTTAAGGAACCCGGGTATTAAGACTTATGCCTTACTAGATTACAATTGCCAAAAGTATGCAGATATAAAAGTACGTTAAGGATCCGCATTCACACGGATCCGCGAAAATGACTAAAACACTGTATTCTGCTGTCAGACCACTATATGGCGAACACAATAGACTGAACACGTAATACACACGTGCATGACATAATCGTCTTCAGAGATCTGTGTTGTTGTTGTTTACACAGAGACGGATTTCAAAAACTTGTACTTTGAAACCCGTTTTCAAAAGTTTTCAGGCACCCAAAACGCTGTTGTCGTGTAAACAGACGGCCAAAATGCATAAAAAATTAACGTTTTTTAGTTGAAAACAATGTTTTTTTTAAGTTGACATTGCAATGCATTCTGGGTGGTAAGTTGTAAGTATAAAATTGTTGCTCCGATCTCAGCTCCGTTATCTTGATCCCACTGTTACACAAAAATATAATCTGTTGAGCCAGAGGACAAAATGAGCAAGGATGAAAACGTTGAAGTCGTTCAATATCGGTTCAATCAAAAACGGAAGTGATCTGAGGCGTGAGGTGAGAAAAATTAATGGTATATCTGTGGCTATTGCTCGGCGATGCTAACTGAGAGAGAGATGATGGCATCTAGGTAAGCGATTCTTGTCTTTGGACGACATATTTAGATGTTTATTCCTTGGGAAAAAAAATAGTTGTGCATTAAACTAGCTTGAATGTAACTCTACATAATCCCCATCTTCACTCACTCCCTTAGCTCAGAGATCCACTGGTTGACTATCACACGTTGATCTGATGTGATTGGTTACAATGTAGTTTGTGACGTCCGAAACACCAGCGATTTCAAAATGTGTTTTTTGAGACGTCTTTAGTTCACTTAAGGGGAAAATACTCAGCAATGGTGTTGACATACATTTATTTGCAGTTGGTTTGTCGTAAACCATATTTAAAAAAAACACATATAAACAACATTAAAAACTTGATTTTCACTACAAAAAATTATCATGATTCACATAAATTCTCTTTTATGTGACGCACTCAGTTTTTTCTTTGTGGTGTTATTTGTGGCTTTATTGGCAGTGTTGTGCTTGAGTTGCGGTGCTTCACGTGATGGATGCTCACATTTGAACCACATCAGCTCAAAGCAATAGAAAACTACTTTCCATCAGGTCTCAGTCAACAAATAATGGGCACACACATATAACACGCATGTATTAGGAATGTATGTCTGATTTTAGACCATTTCTCCTCGTTATTTTAATTTCAATGCGCCTGTGAGTGTCGCGCGCGGTGCGAGCCCGCCACGCGCGTTCACACGTCTTCTTCCGGTGTCTCTGAGGCGGCAGTTACAGGATTTATCCACTAAGCGCGATATTTCTCATTAAATATGAAACCATCTGTGCTCTCCCATGTTTTCACAATCCCTCGCACGATTTAAACTGTGACTAACATAAATAATCCCTTCATTTTTAAACGCCACTCACCTTGGGTTTCTCGTCGGCCATGGTTATTGTATTTGCGCTTCTCTACGCCGCCACACAAAGAATCCGCGGCGACGCGCACGTCCGCGCCCCCGATTAAAAACAGACCCTGCGTGCGCGGTCACAAGCGGCGCGTCCGTTCTCCGCGCTCTGTCGCGATTGGCCAGAGCAGGTCACATGCATCGTGTGATGCACGACGGTGATGTAATGCGCGAGACCAGGGAGCTGGGGAAACATGCACGCGCATTCGTGCACGTTATCTCGGAGAAAAAAAAAACATTGGACCAAATATGAATATAAATAGCACAAAACTATGATTATTTTATAGTAAATATCACATATAATCAAATACACGACAGGGAATCCGTAATAAGGGCGTACATCGAGTATTTTGTTGTTTCAGAGGGAAAAATGATCCACTTCTCCTCTCACAGGAGTGGGAAGGGAAGCCATTTTGTTCTTTATGTAATTCACAGATCAAGCTGAACGTACCGCAGCCATTATTTATTAATAATTTAAAACATCTGTAAGGAAAAGGCCTAAAAAAAAAAACCTCTGTTATGGTCATTTTATACCAGTAAACATATTAGGGTAATGTATAAAAAAGTTTATTATTACAAAGAAATATTACAATGTGTAAAGGAATCAGATCAAGCTTTAAAATCACAAAAAAAATCCATACCATAATACCTGTTACAATCCCAGACCCTGATATAAAAGCTATATTTTAAGCTAGAACACTATTATAATTTTGAATAAAACTTTATACTTTATAGGGATGTGCGATATATCGGCCGCCGCCACCATCATATCGATATGTTCATTGTTAATGTTATCGACCCAATTAGAAATATTTTCCTTTAAAATAAAGTCGATAATGTTTTATTTCCTACAGCTGAGACATTCAGATGCGCACTGTTCAACATTGGTTTTCAATTGCTAGAAATATGATCACTTCAAAAAATTAAAGTACAGTTCAGTACAACATGTGCAGCATGTCTGTCATATCGGCCAATATAATAATGAGAAGATTATGTGTTTGATGGCTTTTAATGATGACTTTGGTTTTTGTAATCAGGCTGTCCCAAATAATTATCAAATTTAATTTAGATTGATTGACTAATTACAGTAGGAACTACCTTTCAAATATAAGGAATCATCAGTTATGGCCAAAATGTTAAATACTCCACCCAAAAATTAAAATTCTGTCATTATTTACTCACCCCCAAGTTGTTGCAAACCTGTATGAGTTTCTTTCTTCTGCTCAACACTAAGGAAGATATTTTGAAGAACGATTTGAACGTTGGCACCATTGACTTCCATAATATATATTTTTTTCTGTTCAATGAGTGCCAAACAACTGTTTAATTAATCAAAATGTCTTCCTTTGTGTTCAGTAGAAGAAAGAAACTCATACAGGTTTGCAACAACGTGAGGGCGAGTAAATGATAACAGAATTTTCATTTTTTGGTGAAGTATTGGTGCATCCATACTACAACTCTTATCATATGTTCAATTAAAATATCTAGAAATGTCATCAGACCACTGAAAATCCTTTAGAGAACAACAACATGTGCGAATTGAAAATATTTTTAAAAAACGAAAGTCTTATTTTTACTCATTTATTTCATCTTTATGAAAAATATGACAAACATTTGTGATTAGTATTGCTAGTAAAACACTACTGATTATTCTCAAACAATGTTTCATTATAAAAACAACCATATAATTTGAAACCAATATAAACAGTGGCGTGCATTTTTTATATTTAATTGTCGATTATTGTTTTACTCAGGCGATCAGTGCGCCGTACTAACCGCGCGCGCAGGCTTCAGGGGTCCTTCCGGCTCATGGCGCTCGATTCTGAGCGCTGAACGTATTGAATGTTGTTTAGATCATAAAGCTGTTTAAAGTCATATTTTCACTGTTATTCACGAGGATTTAATATCTCCGGATGATGGAGGAGGTGGACGTGGAGCCCAGCCCTACGGTACGTGCTGATTTATACAGTTTATTCAGTGTATATGATGATTAATATAGTATATATAACGTTATGTGAAGAATACACATGGTGTTACCATGGTATCTGAAGGTAATATTACTAAATTATCATTTACCATAGTACTCCATAGTATTTCAATAAGTAGATATATAATACTTATAAACACTATGGAACTAAACTAATCATAAGCTGGCTACCATGGTATATATGTATTGTATAAACTCATAGGGTTATTCTTATAAATTACTGAATGATTATCATTTATCATGGTCGTGCTGTTTGTTCATTTGTTTTTCTTGCAGTTGATTCCCGGCGTTGGATTTCATCAGAGGCACTTGGGTTTTGAATGGGGTCCTGGAGATCTGTTAGTCTATGAGACAAACTACAAACTACAAGGTATTAATAATAACATCCACACTGGATTCTGGAAAGAGAGTGTGTGTTTGTGTTAAAAAGGCATTATAAAAACTGTCAATCATGTGTGTTCCCGCTCAGGTGCGAAGTCTGCGGGCTCTCCGTTCGTCCACATCGTGAGGAAAGATGAAGATATCTGCTCTCCCATCCTGCGAAAGCTCTTCAACGAGTCCCATCTCATCTTCGTGGGGCTGCAGAAAATCAAAGAGGACGTCCCGAGCAAAAACAAGAAGACGCAGTGAGTCCTCAGACCTGAAGCGAGTGTGTCCTCCTGGTGTGTGTTTGTGTTTGTGATGTGTCATTGTTTCCCGCAGGTTCGTGAGCATCAGTAAGAACTACAGGTCTGTGATCAGAGCCTGTATGGAGGAGCTTCAGCAGAACGCAGGTAAGCGGTCACGTGACTCACGCATGAGGAGGATGATGCGTTTGATCAGCTGATCACGCTCTGTTTCTCTCCCCAGTTTCGGCACAGGAGGGGTCTTTAGCGTCCCAGTATGGAGATCAGGTACATGATGAAGATCACATAACACTAACTCAACTCAATAACTAATGACAATTCATTTAATGTTGAATTGTCTGATAAATGATGTGTGGAAACCAGTATTTCGATAGCAGTTTCATTCTAAGTAAAACTTTTTAAAAACATTTTTGTTGATTGAAATAAAATATATTAGATGAGAAAATTAGAAATGTTGCATTGGTATATAACTTACTATAACTACTAAACCTGAAATAAAAATGAATGGAAAAATGACAAACACATATAAAAGAAATGATTATTAAAACTATAAATTTAAGTAATCATTAGATTAAAAAAATATTCATAATACTATAATAGTGTATCAATATTACTACGGTAACACTCATTTCTATTTATTTTCTATGCATTATTTTGTACAGATGAATTACTAAAAATATTCGTAATACTAAAATAGTATATTAATATTACTAAAGTAACACTATTTTTCTATAAAGATAAATTATTAGATTACAAAATATTAATAACACCGCTACTATAATAGTATATGAATATTATTAAAATTAACAGTAATTTCTAATGATTTATTATGCTTTATTATATAAAGAGAAATTAATCATTAGATTACAAAAATATTTAGTAAATACTATAATAGTATAGTCATATTACTAAAATAAAAAAATATTTTTTAAATACATTAATCATTATATATTACAAATATATTTCAATTTTACAATTACATTCTGCATATTTTGATAATAATAAAATGAATTAAAAATGAAATAAGTGTTATTCTAAAAGTAAAAATATCTGATTCTTCATGTCTGCCTCTGGGACAGTGTTTCTGCGTACATGATATTATTGCTCTTTATATTATACTGGGGGAATAGTGTGTTAGCCGTCACTGAAGTGAGTGCTGGTGTCTGCAGGTGTCCATCCTCCTGGCCATCGAGCTGATCTGGAACCTGTGTGAGGTGCTGTTCATCGACGCGTCTCCAGGTACAGCCTGATGCTCCCATTCCAGAGTGTGTTGTGTTGTTGTGTAGCCAAATCTCTGCTGTGATGATGATGAGTGTGTTGTTGTGTAGCCGGGTCTCTGCTGCTGCACCTGCTGGACTGGGTGCGCCTCCACAAGTCGGACGTGGACTCCAGAGCCAGGGAAGTGTTGCAGAGCGAGAGCCCCACTCGACATCAGGCCTACTGGGACGTGGTATGAAGCGCGTGACCCCTGACTTCCAGATGCTCCTCACATCACTGCTGGGGTCCTCACGTGTGTGTGTGTGTGTGCAGGTGATCAGTCTGGTGCTGCAGGGCCGGATGGACGAGGCGCGGCAGGTCCTGTGCAAGCAGGCGTCTCTGCGGCCCGAGAGCAGCGCCGTGTTCAGACGCATGGACGTCCTGCTGCAGAACATGCCCGTGTTTAACGTACGTACGCCAGCGCACCACAGAGCATCTGTCATCAGCATATCATACATGCCAGGCTAAAGTTGGACACCAGACCGGTGATTAGAGCCAGACCGATATATCGGCCGGCCGATATTAGGCATTTTCCAAAATATCGGTATCAGCAGTTATAATGGCCGATAAACAAATATTTAAAAAATAAAATAAAAACGGACGAAACACGCTTTAATCATCTCTCCTTGGCCTGTTATATTGAAAATGTATGTTTTAAAATTTGTAGTATGATGTTATCTATTGCTAAATTATGGCTCATCATAGACTAGCTAACCACAAAGCTAGCTAATGCCACTATCATCAGTGGAAGACCGCTAACGTTAACATTAATGAGCTTGGAAACAACAATGAACTTTTTCTGCCTAAATAAAGTAATTATTACTGTATTTATAACTAGCATATCTCTAGTTACAGTCCCTGCATTGTAAGTTAAAAAGTTATACTTGCGAGGAGTGAACATTTAGACAGAGAAAAAGTATCAAACGTATCTTGTGCAGAAAAGTTAGCTTTTCTTTTACACGTGTGTGAAATCCAACAATATTTAATAAAAAAAATATATATCGGACGATATATCGGATTTTAAAACCCAAAAATATTTGTATCGGTATCGGCCTTCAAAATCCTTTATCGGTCGGGCTCTACTGGTGATTTTTTTGAATATAAGCAAATAAAAAGCACATTTCCACCACACAAGAAAAAAAAATCATTGTTTTGACTTTGGTCTTAATTTTTTTTTTCAAACATTTAAAAAAAAGAAAG